CTTCTGAGCATTTGGCTCTCGAGCTCGGATTCCCGTTGTATCCCCCCCACCAGCTTCGAAGATACTTGGAGCAATGCTGCGCTTGGCAGTGGTGCTTCTAGGACTTATGGTGGGCTTCGGCGCCGAGCTTTGCCTCGATGATGGTGTGGCAGAAAGTGAGCGAGCATACATCCAGGCAGGTCGAGCGATCTTGAGGATGTTTCTTGAGCTTTCTTGATTGATTGTCCTAACGTAACCATCGAAGCCGAGTACTTTCTATCATATAGAAACACTCACATGCACATGGGCCAAAATCCCCACCCTTGAAGGTTCCTGAACAAACATAACTTGCCAGTATTTGAACCCTGCAATCAGGATGATTCCGGCAACAACATTCTAATCGGAGTCTTCGAAATGGCTTGGGCATCTTCCACCCTTCTTGCCGAGATGACAGCAGTGATGATTCGTGAGGTGCTTGGCTTCCATGCTCATGTAGATCCTACAGTGGGTGGGAATGGAGCTTCTCCTGTCTTCGCTTTGGCAGGATGTACCGACTTCAACGACAAAGTCAACCGGAAATGTGGTACCCAAGAAACGACGATTCATGTCAGCGTGGACTCCTGGATTGGAAGCTATGCTTCTACCCAGAATCAATTTGCCAAGGAGTATCCAAGAATTGCCGCGGAGGACTTGGGGAGCATGGGATATCTTGGCGAAGAATCCATGTATGTGAGCCAGGCTATTCTCAATGCTGCCTACAGTGAATCAGGTCTTGCTCTGGACTTCTACAAGAGCTACTTTGCTTGTCTCAGTGCTGTTTTTTTGTCGAAAGCGAAACCCAGGGCCCAGGCATAATGTTATTTTCTTGGGCAGCAAATACCAGGCATCGGTAACATTGGCGACGATCAAGCATGCTTCATGTATAGAATCATCAGAAGACATACAATTAGAAGAGAACAATCAGGACATTTCCAAAAACACTATTGCATGTTTTGCCCGGGAAGACGTTTGAAGCATGCTTACTTGGTTGTATGTCCTGTTTAGAGCTTTCATGCGTGAATGTGAAATTGTTTCTGATGTGTGAGTTTTTTTTTTTTCTGACTTTGACCCCTACTCGAGTAGAGGTTACAACACTTCGCATCATGATCCGAAGAGACTTGCCTGCTGAAAGGATGATTTCCTTGACCTTTTTTGTGACTGTCTATAATTATCCTTTGTATGTTTTGAATAGTCGACCCCATTGGAGATGTTTAAAGCCCAATCATGCAAGTGTCAGGAAATATTTTGGTTCCATCCACGATGTGAACTTGTCAGAGTTGGCGCTCTGCAGTGAGACCGACCTGAGCGACCGGAGCCAAATGTCGGACTATGCCAAGTATTCAGGCGACTATGACGGGGTTGTCAGCCAACCAGATGGTACATTTGTCGCCAAGTGTACCAACGACCGCTGGTGGTATGCCCCTGCATGCCGTCACAACGGCTCCGCATGTATCCCTGTCTTCACGGCCGGGACCGGGTGGAAAGCACAGCCCATGATGCAATGGTCAACGGCTTACGGAATTCCAGCGGCTCTCGCAGTCTCTGGCTCGTGGTCCTTGTTCTTGAAGCATGTGCGGACTTTCCAGTGTCTACACTAGTGGTGGGTTCCAGATTCCACTTTCATCCAAATGTTGCCAGAACAGCTGGTTTTTGCACGTCACAGTGCCAATGAGTGGCTTGCTGGAGACAAGAAGACAGGAGGTGCAGGAAGCTATGTGTCCAAGATGGTCAGCAACAACTTGCAATCCAAAGCCGGCCGGGTTCGAGAGTTCCTTCGCTGTGAATTTGACTGTTTTCACTTTTACACATTGACATGTTTTGCCATCCTGATTGCTGACTGGTTTCCGTTGATTGCTGATTTACATGGAGTCCTAACGACAAATGTGAGAAATCGTCATTCATGGTTTTTCTTCCCACCACATGAAGGTTCGTCTCCAACATCAATTTCGAGCTGCCCGAAGTGCAACATCTTCTTTTGGAGTTTGAGCAGACCGGCTCAGCCTACAATGTTTCCTGCAAGTGGATAAAAAACAATCGAGCCAGGCAAGGATCAATGGGCAGCGTGTTTTCTGCCAGGCTTCTACTATTGATATGAACTGCTATAAGTTACATAGCAAAAAAATAGGCCCGCGATGGTCTCCATGTGACTTTCACCTATGGACCTCCTTTTCTACAAACTTTAGCCCAACCTTTGGCTAACGAGCTCAGCTTACTCGTAGCGCCGAGGTGAGGGAGAGCATTCCATTTTTTCGACATGGAACTACAAAAGATACGGTATATAGGTGGTTGCCCAATTTCTGATGAAACATCCATCCAAAACAATCCAAACCCAACCATTTTGGTTTTGCCTGGAACCAGGTGGTCAGCCTGGAAACCAAAGCTGACCAGCTGCTATGAAGGCTTCGGCTTGGTTGACGCCTCCGGAGCTTTTGTCCCCAACAGGACACTGGCCGTTGGATGCGGCCTGTGCCAGGCAGGAACTGCATCTGAGGAGCTCATTGATGATGAGGGACGGACTTTCCAATGCAAACAATGTCCCCCTGGCTACAGCCAATCGAACACTTACTCCACCCAATGTGAGCCGTGTCCGAAGGGCACTTCAGCCAGCATGTTTGGAAGCATAGCATGCACTCCCTGCGATGAAGGAGCGTATCAACCGGATACCGCTCAGACCTCATGTATCCCTTGTGCTGCTTCCCGAACAACCCTTCTCTTGGGTGCATCATCTTTGGCAGATTGCGTGTGCCAGGCAGGGAAAATCGAGCAGCTCTCCATTTGTGAGGATTGCAGTGAGGAAAGCATGCATTGCCCCAAGGGTAGCACCATTGCGAAGCTTGTAGCAGCGCCGGGTACAACCGACACGAGGGGCCCTTTTGTCAAGAAAGGCTTCTTTAGCGCGCTACATTTGCTTGAACAAGATTTGGAGTTACTATACATTCCTGAACCCTCCTACACACCCAATCATTTGATTATATTTGATTGATGTTTAATTGGCGTAATTGGTCCTGTTTTTTCTAGAACTGCAGTAGAAAAATACAATATGTTGGTTGGCAGGTTGTCCCAAATACGTTCACCAAGGGGCAAAACGGTTCAACAGTTCAGTTCAATCAGTATTTGTGTACTTGATTTTGGGCATCAGAGGCAATCCACTAGTACCTCTTGACACTTACAAATGTACCGCGGAGCTCTTTTGCCCCGGTGGCTCCCCCGGTCAATGCTTCGGGGATCGTGAAGGTTTGACTTGTGGCGACTGCGCTGATGGACATTACTGGGCTTCCGACCAATGTGAGCCCTGTGGAGCAGTGTCAGTTGCATGGGCCCTCTTGGTGACTATGCTTGTGCTTGGAGTCTGTGGCTCTTATTATATGCTAACATCCAGCTATACGGCCAAGGCCAGTGTGATGATGTCCACCACAGCAGCCTTGGGAATGCTAGTGGCCTTATTCCAGAACTTGGGTGTCTTGAACACAGTTGCTGTTCCATGGCCAGCTGAATTGGAAGCAATCCTGAACTTTGCCTCAGTCTTTACCTTCAACCTTGATGCTCTTGGCTTTAGTTGTGCTGCTGGAGGCAATGTCGCCCGGTACGTCAGCACGGCCTCGTTCTTTTGGATTGTGGTTCTTGCGTTGCCCCTTGTTGGTTTGCTTACGAACTTCATTCCAATTCTGAAGCGCCGCAAGCTTGCGTGGGAGCAGAACAAAACAATCAGCACCACGGGACAGTTCTTGCAGGTCGGGTTCACGACCATGTGCAATGTCGGCCTGATGCCGTTCATGTGCTACAGGCATCCTACTGGTCAAGCGAGTATCTTGAAGTACCCGAATGTATTCTGTGGCACAGATGAGCACGCTCTTTGGTGTGAGACAGCAAGGTTTTGAAGCTACAGTTTTGGATGACCGGTCCCAACCCATCCCATCATCCTCCAACATCGTTCATTTGCACATGATGACCAAGGTGATCATGCGGGTCTTTGGGGTGTTGGTGCTTGTTTTGGCCTTCACCTTCTTCACAGCGGCTTGCTACGCTGCATATCAAGCGCCAAAATGGTCAGGCAAACCAAGGCCCAAGGGTTCCACCTGCGACCGCCGCTTTGTATTGTTTTTGAGGAAGAGTTCAGCCCAAAGTGTGAATCCCAATCTTGTCAATCTGATCCAATCTGTGGCCATCTCGACCCTGTGCGAATATGGTTCATGTCTGGACATATTTGCGGCAGCGGCAGGATGTTTGTCACACCCACGGTGTCCAACCAGTGTGTTTGCCATACCCTGACATCCAAGCGTGGCAGATCATGACAAATCAACGTAGCACAAAGCGACACAAGGCCTTGCACCCCGACATGTCGCTGCGACCCTGTGCAGGAAAGCGACAGCATTCAAAAGAACACATAGATTGCATAGAAACTGTGCTCGAATGAAACTTTCTTTCTCCCACATTCATGCTTCAAGTTTCAAGCCAGGCTGGCGGCCATTCGCTTCTTGATCTTCCGCTTCCGGCCAAACGTGTGGTATTTCGGCTTGGTCCTCTTGGCTCGAGGACCCTTGCTGTCCATGCCAGGTGTGATCGCGACCAACATGCCCAGCTTGCAACTTCACTGCACAAGGAAGATACTTTCGGTTTACGAGTCATACGAAGAGAGTCTCACACCACCTTCCGATCGCAGGTGAAACCCTTGAGACAGGGAAGACCGTGCAGCTCAGGCAACTTACGCTGATGCACATGATCTTGCTTGGATCTCTTTGCCTTCAGTTGTGGTTCCTGCCTTGGAAGTCTCCAATCCTGAACCTGGTCGACGGAGTCTCAGTGTCGCTCCTTGTGATGCTTTTGGCTGGGTCTCTTGGATATGCCGACAGCAGTGGTGAAGATGCCACACGTGTTCTGGCGACCTTCGGAACCGTCATCTCTTCTTTGATGGTGGTCATCCTTGGAGGCATGGTCTTGCTTGGCCTAGCTGCTCTCGTCTACCGTTCAGCGCTGGGCAGCTCAAAGGAACTGCGCGTCATGAACCTTGGCAAGGTTCCAGAAGAGAAGGATGTCTTTCAAAGTCTACTTGATGTGGCGACCTTTCTCAAGGAAGATGGACAGGGCAAGGAGCAGACCTTCATCAAGGACTTGGGCAATCTCTCAGTCTATGACATTGGCACCATCACCCGTGCAGTGAACATCTTGGCCGACGACTTGAACATGGTCGTCAGCCAGAACGGCAGCATTCGCAAGAGTTCCTCCCGCCGCATCGCCACCGGAACACGGTCGATCAGGAGAACAACGAACGGCGGGGTGGGAAGCCGGAACGAGTGT